CTCCCTTCTTTTCTGCATGACATGATACCCATTCCATTCGCTTTTTGTTTCATTTCATGCAACGCACACTAACATACGCCGATCCACAACCTTGTTACGCATACGTAGTTAGTGTGTGTGTGTGTGTGTCTGTCTGTCTAAAGGTGGGCGGTGTTAGCGCTAAGCTTTTGAGATAATGATGCTGATACGTCAACATGCGTCATGGACGAGGTGACTAACACGACGTGTCTTAGGAGGAGAGATTCGTCGAGATGTGCTGAGGGGCCTGGTCCCATGCAAATTAAGAGCAGCACCCACGCTCCAACGTCAATCAAACGCCGAACGGGTCTTCTCGACAATTCACTGGTAATTGTGTCAACGAAACTTATGTCCAAAAAAATCGAGTCGATTGAATTTCGGTCTATTTTCAGAATATATAGTTTTCGCGTCAAAATACCTTTTAAAAAAAGTTGATTTTTTTGGACATACGTTCATTGACACGATTACCAGTGAATTCATTTAATTTACGCCATACCTCTTCATTTAACCAGATTTAACAGCAAACGGGCCGATCGAACCGAAATTCCGAAACGAGCAGTTTAGTTGGAGGTGGGGGAAGTACAGAGGCAGTCGTGACTGCGATGATCTCAGAACGGCCAGAGGGGCGGGGGCGGGGCGAGGCGACGTCGAGGCCTATAAGCTGAATGCGGAACCAAAATATTTCTATAAAACACAAACATTGAACAAACGATGTTATTTTCTATTTTGCTGGCCTAGCGCTTGTTTCTCTTTCTTTTATCGAGAATTAAAGAAGCTAGACGAAACCCGATGAAACGATGAAACCAAACCGTGACGCCATTTATGTACCGCGCGTTACGGGTGTATCTTCGAATGCGCTCCAGTGTTCCTGGATTGCATTCTCGCAAGAGGTGCATAGAGACCATGGCGCCTTGCGTAAGGAGGGAGTAGGCAAACCCGCAACACTCGGGCGCAAATATAGATGCACCCGTTACATTCATATTTAGGCCAGGCTTTAAGGTTTCATATGCCAAAAATTGGGCAGTCCTTCCTGTCGCTAATGGAGGGGAGGCATGAGCCCCACACCCCCTTCCACCCAGATCCCACATCATGTTTTTGACCCCGAGACTGATGATGGCGCTTTCTGTTCTTCCAGGTGACGCTGGCCGCGCTGGCGGCTCCTTCCGCCGGCCTGCAGCCGCACTACTACCCCAGCCCGTACGCCGCTCCCCCCGTGCAGCTGTGGTTCCTCTCGCCGGCCGAGGTGGGCGACCTGATCTCCAGGATCCCGCTGGCCAACTACCGGGAGGTGTCGCCCAACGCGCCGGTCGCCGCCCGCTACAACCCCGCCACCTCGCAGCCGCACCTGTGAGTATGGCGCCTTTCTGACTCTGCCTCGGGGCCACACGGTCTGAGACTGGGATGATAGCTGTGCGCTTCTTTGCAGACTGCGGCAGGAGCAGGTAGACGTGTCGCAGTTTCACACCCAGGACGGTGCGGGGCGCGCCGTGTTCGGGTACAGCACAGCAGACCAGGCCCGCGTGGAGGCGCGATCGGGCGATGGCCGCGTCCGCGGGTCCTACTCGTACCGCGACCCCACGGGTAAAATCGTCAAGGTGAGCAAAAGAAAGAGGGTCCCCGTCAAGGAGGTGTAACCAGCATACTAATGTGCAACAGCTTTCCAAAGACAGCCATTTCGATTCAAGCTAGTGTCAAAGACTATGACGCCCTGTTCATTAGGTTAACTACTGGGACGACGGGGACGGCTTCCACGTGGCCGGCAATTCCCTGCCCTCCGAGTCGGACGTGCCGGAGCAGGTGACGGAGACACCCGAAGTGGCCGCGGCCAGGCTGCACCACGAAAACATGCACGCGCAGGCCCTGCAGGCCGCGCTTCTGGCCGGTAACGGGTGAGCAGCAGAGCACGCATCAGCAGGTGGAGCAGGGCCGCTCTCAGCCGGGGCCGTGGGCAACCCATCGCGCATCGCAGCGCGGCGTGCGACGTGCGGCCTGCTGCCGGGGAGCGCCCAGCACCCGTTGAGGATCTGGTCCTGATGACTTGCTTGTCCCGGTCGCAGGGAGGAGACGGACCAGACGCGAGTGGAGGGTCCCAGCGGGGACCTGCCACCGGTCTACGACGAGGACGGCACCGAGCTCAGACGCTACCCAGCACCCCAGCACGCCTCGCTGTACGACCCGAGCCACGTGCACGACGCAGACCGGGACGCCGTCATCATCAGCAACCCCGACCTGGAGCCGGACTCCTTCAACGACATCCAGCTGTTCCGCGGTGTGAGGGCGCGGGCGCGCGGCTACCACCCCCGCATGCGCACTCACACTCGAGCGCGCCGGGACTCGGAGCACGGCGCCGAC